GAAAATGATCTCAGAGAAAGAATCCACGATGCTGCAGATGCAATAAATAATACAGAAGGGATTATGTTTGATGTCTATCAGTCGTTGGTTCGGCGATGCAGAGCATGTATAAGAGCCAATGGGGGTCATTTTGAACATGTTATTTAATATTGTTTTATGTTAGTGTTATTTGTTATGTTGTTATTTACCGTTTTGTATTATTACTTAAAATTGTAAAAACCGTACCTACAAACTATTACCTATTATTAGCATCTAAGATACAGCAATAAGAAAAAGAATATTTCATTGTTTGCTGTTAACATTTTTACATGAAACGTTCCATTTTAATTTAATACATAATATTAAAGTAATATTACTTTGAAATGTATTTGCTATCATTACGAAACTAAATGCTTTATCAGAAGAACGGCCTCCCACATTATTGAGATTTTCGGCAGAACGAGACACTTTACCGATTTCAAACAAGTATTATGCCAAATTGTCCAAGGAATCTAAAAATTTACCCCAAATAAGTATTAGGTCATTGGCGTAGAAGTTGGGGCAAAAAAATCCCGCTACCCTACCCGTTTCTACGCCACTGACCTACAAAAAATTTGTAAATTTTGCAGTAAATTATAGACATTCGTAAGTATTAACATCATACCAGATTTGAATCAAATTGTTACAACCATACCAGAGATATCATAAATAATATGATGTAAAAAACCGACCAATACGGCCCTGTAGAGCGAAAACGGTGAGACATAGAACCTTGGTTTATAAGGCAATTCTTAATTACTTATCGAGTTCTATATGTGGTTAAAATTTGATTCACTCGAACTGAAACACCCTGTATATGTTATGGGAATGAATTGTAAAGATTTTGGTGATAATGGTCGTGTGTTCAATTTTATGTTTGGAAGGAAATACATACCAATTTTAAATTAAACATTAGTAGCCATTATCCGCAATTCATGATAGGCTAATTAAAAATCAGACGTCAATGAAAACAATTTTGATTCAAACTGAAAACTAGAAAGAGGAACGAGAATACTTCCCCTTATCAATTTTTGTAATAACAGGACTATTAATGTTATTGATTTACTTCAAACAAGTAACGTGAAAACAAAGTAAATTGCAATTATAGGAAAATCTGTCAAAATATTTATAAAATGTCCCATAGCTATCCGGAATAGAATTTAACTCGATTCAATTTGAAAGAATATTTTCAATTAAGGTTTGAGTTATGACTAGAGATTATGTAATTTTATTTAAAAAAATGTGACACAACTGCACTTTTTACATTATAATTCTCCATAGCTAATATCTTAATTTCCAAAGAAACCAAAATTTTTACAAAAATGTTAATATCGCATTTTTGACACAATAAATGTATGTTATTAATAAAATTCGATTTTCTCAAAAACGGTACAAGATATCGACGGACATATGGTATTTCTTTTTTTAGCAAAGTGAGAGAGGTATCGAACTATGAAAGAAATACGTGAAATTTGGCAACTCTGTCAAGGATGTATAAATTTAAATGGATAATTTCGTCTGCTCCTGTATAATCCAGGCATATTGAATATCAGTTTAAACTTGGAAATGAACATTACCATGAGCTACTTTAATTGCCCAAATTTCGTTGCTGTCATGGTAACGACTTAGAAGTTATAATTGGAATTTGTTTTTCAAACTTCTTTCTTTGAAGGCGAATAACTCCACAACGAAGTCCGATAGGAAAAAAATATATATGAAGTACATCTATTTTGACCTCCTCTGTATATCACTTTATTTTTGACATGACCTTTCCTGGACACCCTGTATGTAAGTATTTGCATAATAGTACAACACAAGTTGCACCCACTTTGGAAAAGTAAACTGCAACTAAATTTTTCTCTATGACGTCTTCGAGAAACGTTATACTATTGCCATAAATAAGATCGTCAGTTACTCTACGCTCCATTTAATTTAGTAAGTTGTTTACAAATATGTTAATTTACATCTATGTGATTAGAAATTTCAATTGAATGCAATAGCACACCGTAAACTTTAACCAGAGTGAATATACTACTAAATGAAAACTTTAGATTCACAAAATCCAAGTAAAATATTTATCTATACCTGGTAATATTTTACTAGTTCAAAAGGAAATGTCGCAATAAAGTCTATGAATCTCGCTTGTCCCAATGCTAGAATAGAATTGCCGGTATGAATAGCTGGCTTTGGAGTAAATTTACTGTACTATTACAACTTCAAAGTTACCTAATAAAACCGTATCACTTTAGAGTCGCTACACGGGCATCTATAAACTTATATTACAACTAATATTCCTTGTATGCAATTCTGCTTATGAATTGCAACTGCAATAACTGTTACTGTAGTTATAAATTAAGCCTCAGGAAAATTAATTTAGGTAATTTTGGGATGACGATATCTTAAATTAATTTTTCGACTATTGTATAGCAGTGTAAAATATAATTTTAACTACTCTATTATCGAAAGTAAGTGTTTTAGATAATTTACTTTAAAGTATTGGATTTTATAAGAGCTGCAATAAAGACTTTTATTTCACGATTTCAGTTGTTAAAATCTCTATCAATAAAAACATCAGTATTTCATCCATTATTATTACTCGAATTAGAGTTTGAACGTGTTAAAATTATTAGTAGACATTTTGTTGTACTTTATGAGGGGGAAGTGTATGTAGAATGGTAATATCAAAAAAGTAATTCGAAAGAACTGACACTAAGTTGGCAAATTGCAAATAACTGGCAAATTTGTGTTTTTTAATTACTGAACGTTAATTTTCGAAGTTAATATCGTAGATATAGGTTTTAATTTAACCAAAGAAACGCATCGAAAAAAAAATTTCAGAGAGTTAAAATTAGTAGCCCTTTCCAACTAACAGAGTAACAGAGTCAAGTCGAGCAGAGGTTATTTTGACGGTAATTAAAAAAGAAAGAGAAAACACCTACGTCTTTTTGTTCCTAAGATAACTTTTTTTATTTGTTAATTAACTATTAGACGTATCGGACCAGGATTTTAGAGGCAATTAAGGAAAGGGTTCAACTTTTATTTTCAAAAAGTTTTACATTGATAGTTCATGTAATAAACGTGCTAGCAGCAGTAAAAGTTAACGTTAAATAACGGTCTTCTTCTGCGTAACTTTTACTGCTGCTAACGGGTTTATTACATGAACTATCAATGTAAAACTTTTGAAAATAAAAGTTTAACTCTTTCATTAATTGTCTCTAAAATCCCGGTCCGATACGTCCAATTGTTAATTAACAATTAACATTATATAAAAAGTTATCTTGGCAACATAGAGGCTAGGCGACGTCACTTTTTTAAATTACCATAAAAATAAGCTCTATTTAATGCAAAAAGAGTGAATTCCCGAGCAGATTTTGCCCGATTTGTTCATAACATTGTTTTGCACGTCCTACTTTGTTAGTTGTAAAGGACAACTTAATTTTAACTTTTTAATTTTTTTTCGATAAGTTTATTTGAATCAATTAGAACCTATATCTACGATATTAATTTCTAAAATTAACGTTTAATAATTAATTAATCAATTAGCAGCAAAAAAGAAATGAAATTAATTAACAAATAGCTGGAGCAACGATTTTACGGTCATTGGAATCGGAATTTGAAACACATGTTGGTCATTGGATTGACCGTCTGTTCCATAAATTTCCTCAACATCTAGCGCTTTTTGCAATAATAATGGGCAATTTTCGAAAACTGATATTTCCGCATTTCACAGTTTTACAGTTAACAAATTAGTGAAAAATGATTCTAGGTACCCTAGATTGTAGGTATTTAATTGCTTATAACACAAAGTAACCAATATTCCGATAGGTCGTCTATATTTTCCTGGATAGTAAAAAAAGTGAAAAAATACCTAAACTTGCCACTTATTTGCAATTTGCCAACTTAGCGTCACTTCTTTCGAGTTCCTTTTTTGATATTATCATTCTGCATAGGTACTATTCCCCGTCATAAGTACAATAAAATTTCTATTAATAATTTTTTCAAACTTTCATGTTTTCTAATCTAATTCAACTGGAGTATATTAATTTTTAACAATGTGTGAATCTACTTTGCAACTAACCTAATTTTTGAGCCGAACAAAATTTAGCATTATTTGGTCACCCCTTATTATTTGTTAACATTAACTTTTCTATGAAAATGTGTCATGTTCTAGTAACCCATTTTTAAATACGGGGTATTGTGGAACTACTAGGAGCATTGGGAGAGAAGACAAGGGTGTGAGGACGGCAATGAGCAGTCTGGCTGGAGGAGTAAAGAGCGATTCACGAGAAATCAAGAAATCAATCTTGTGCGGTAAAATTCTAGTTACCATATGTAATGTGGTATACGTACCTGCTATTAAAATAATTCCACTGGTTCATCTTACTCCCTCACGAACTCTGGCACATAAAATGATATAGTTTAAGTGTACTACTTCTTATAATATATTGTTTGTAATTAATTTCCGAATTAGCTTTTTAATTTGACAAATTTCCCGCTTGAACGTGAAATATTTATACACTTGTTGCGTAAATAAGTGGTCAATGTATATTAAATAATTTTTAATTAAACTTTCAATTTTGATACTTTTAAAAAGGAAACGCTAATTAGAATATTTCCCCTAAAGAATATCTAAACATAATTTGTACTACAGTATTTTAAATGAAACAATCGTTAACCTTAAAAATTGTGACATAGTATATTACGGTTAAATGTTTTACCCTCAATCCTACATTTTGTCCACCAAAGTTTAGGAAAGGAAAGGTCAAAAAACTGTTCATGTAAAATCGATAAACCGTTACATGTAGTAACAGAGATCCAGAGACCCAAGTCCCAAAAGCAGTGGATGGAATAAAACAAAAAAATAAAATATGCCACACGAAAGCTACACTTCCATATTTGTTATACTTCATATAAGTGAAAAGTTAAAAGATTACATTACTAATATCAAGAAAAGATCTAAATTAAATTAATTTAATATTTACCTTTATTCCAGAGCTGGTACTGCCACCTTTAACGGGGACACCCTGAAAATAAAAATTGTGTTATAGAAGATGTAATTTTATATTATCATATTATAAACAAATTAAACCCACACAATTGTCATAAAATGTCGCAACTAGCGACCTCTGGCAGGAGTTCAAGAACTAATAACACTGACATATTTAACACCATCATACATAGGATTAGAGGATATTGGCACTATTACAATAAATATCGAACATTAGAGGTCTGTTCAGAAAATAACCGAACTTTTTGAATTATGTGTTAATGGAGATATTTATTAATATGCAGTTGTTGTTAGCTCATTTAGTTTTCGTGGTATTATTATTTGAGTGCAACATGTTTAAGTGTTAATGACGATTTTTGAAATGTGCGATTTTCCGAAACAACGATGCAACGTAATTTTGCATGAAGCTGGGGAAAACTTTCACGGAAACGTTTCCAGTTTTGAAACAAGCTTATGGAGATGATCTTCCAGATCGTACGCAATGTTACGAATGGTTTTCACGATTTAAAAGTGATCGTTAGTCAATTGAACATGATGCTCAACCAGGAAGGCCTTCAACTTCAATTGATGACTCCCACGCTCAGAAAGTCAAAGATTTGGTGCGTGCAAATCGCCGACTGAGTGTCAAAGAAATTGCAGAAGAGGTTAGCATCAATTGCGTCACCCCATGAAATTTTCAGTGAAAAATTGAACATGCATTGAGTTGCAACAGAATTTGATCACCGAACAACAGAAAGAAAATCATGTAGACGTTTGTCGACAACTTCTTGAACAACCCAAAGACGGTAAAACATTAATTCAAAAGATCATAACGAGAAAAGAAAGCTGGGTTTACGGCTACGACATTAAGGCAAAAGTTCAATCTCATCACAATGGATTGGCAAAGCATCTCCACGCCCCAAGAAAGTATGTCATTCTCGACCCAATGTCAAAGTGATATTCATTGTTTTTTTCGACTTTAATGTATTTGTGCATTTGGAATTCTTGTCTCAAGGTGAAACAATGAACCGTTTTAGGCGTTTTACAACGGTTACGTGAAAAAATCCGCAAAAAGAGAGCAGAGTGTGGCGAGACAACTGATGACATTGCGTTTGCACACTCAGCTTTGTCAATAATTTGTTAGTTTTGTACCAAATATCAGATTATTGTTCTTCCTCACCCTCCTTACTCGCCGACCTTGCAATTTTTTCTGTTTTCTGAAATTAAAATCAGTCCTGAAAGGATGCCGTTTTCAGACTATTGGTGATATTAAAGCAAATTCGTCACTGACTTTAAAGGCCATTTCAAATGAAGCTATCCAGGACTGTTTTGCGAAATGGAAACAACGCTGAGATAACGGTGTATTTTGAAGGAAACAAGGAACAATAGCGTATAAAATTAAGTTGAAAAAAATAAAGTTCTAAACAGACCTCGTATAGCCAATAATAAATAACCAATCGATGAAACACTATTAATTATTCTAATTTTCTATTTCATTACAAAACTTTAGGAATAATAACACTAAATAAGTTTTTTAATAGAAAAAAGGTGAATATCAAACACGCATTTTTTTCAGCAACTAGTCATCTTTCAAATTTGTTATACTTGAAAACCCTTATACCGGTGTACGCCTGCATAGCAGTTTGCCACATTTACCGGTAGAATTATTCAGAGGGTGAAAATGATAGATGATGGCATGAGTAATAATCCCAAGTGTGTGTGTCTGTGTGGTTGTGACGTCATGAGAATTTGGGGAGATAGTACCTATCCATTTAGCGCGTGTTTTTATCGCTAAATTTCACAGAAGATGCTTGGCTACAGGTGTGTTGCAAAAAATGTATTTCTGATAGAGAAATAATGTACAGTTGAAAGCCAACCAACACGATAAATATTTTCGATTACTTTAAGTCCTTTAAAATCAGGATTATTATATATAGGGTGTGTCCCGGAAAAGAAACCCAATTTGATAATCACTCCTAGAATTAAAATATGGTGATATGTAAAATTACCAACACACAAAAATTCTTCGTTTAAATGACAGACTCTTTTTGCTGAACTCCTTGATAGTACACACAATTTTATTAATATCGAAAAGAACAGTGAGCATTACTTTCACATTGGATCTAGACTGACGTGCTTTCTTGGAGTGTGGAGATCCTTTACCAATCCATGGTGATGATTGAACTTTTGTCTCAATGTCGTAGCCGTAAAACCAGCTTTCGTCTTGATAAGTGCTACCGTTCCCGAGAAAACTCATCCTTTATCGCGCATACGCATTCATCTTAGTCATCCCCACTCCCTCTCTACCGAGAAATTGCGGTGACCACGGTACCTTTCTTGATTTTTTTTTATTTGCCGAATAAACATATTTTTTTTTTCTCGACTACACGATTACGTAAGCTATAAATTATTATTAACTTTACTCTTCTATATCTCAGAATCTACAGAGTAGAATGTTGCTGTATTTGGCTAAAAAGCAAGGGGTTACGACGTAGTTTTTATGTGTGCAAGATTTTGTCGATTGCGAAGAAAATTCCCTGGGCAATAAATATGAAATTGTTTATAGAGTAAAATTAAAAAAAAAATCTAAATGGTTATAAAAGTGTAAACATGGGTATTTTTAGTATTGATTATTGTTTATTATGACAACAAGTATCTCTAAAAAATTGCGTGCCCTTTCTAAGCCTTAGTTTAAATCCATGGTATGCGATAAACTTTTTGAAATTTTCTTAATTAATAATCCTGTCAATCGAAAACCACGCGATCGATCGTTGTAAAATTTTTAGGGTAGAATTGACATATGTTTTACTATTTGTTCACAAAGTTTTATCAATATTTATAAATATTTACTTATTTTAAAAATTGCTCCAAATATATACAGGATGATTCACAACTTATCCAAAAAAATTTGGGAATAGATGCGGCATGAGAAATGGGGTCAATATTGTAAAAAAAAATTGTAAAATTCTTATAGTTTCTGAGAAAGAAATTATTGAAGTTATAACACATTAAACCACTACATAGCTGGACAA